AGACAGAAAGACAGAAAGACAGAAAGACAGAAAGACAGAAAGACAGAAAGACAGAAAGAAAGAAAGAAAGAAAGAAAGAAAGAAAGAAGGAAGGAAAGAAGGAAAGAAAGAAAGAAAAACAGAAAGAAAGAAAGCCAACTGGTTTACCAGCACCCACTTAAAAAGAAGACTCCATGGAGAAAATTCAGAGTTTTATCCTGAGAATTAACTTTCCTCTGGCCGAGCCTAGGTAAAGGGCCTCAGGTAAGAGATCAGAAATCCCAGTCTTATATGTAAGGGTGAAGGACGACACAGACTGGCTGTTGTTCTGGGAAATAATGGGAGATCCATGAAGGTATGATACAAACCAAAGAAAATGAAGTCTAATAAGCACAAATGTTAGGGCTTGAGTTTGCTTTGCTTGAGTACAGTGTTTATGCCCCCTTCCACTGAAGCCTTGAACCTCAAAGGGGTAAGACATGATGGGGATGTAATGGCAGAGCCTTCATAAGTGAAATTAGTTGGGCCAGATTTGGTGAGTCATACCTGTAATCCCAGGACTAAGGAGGCCAAGGCAGGAGGCCCATAAGCGTAGGGGGCCAGTTTATATTCCAGAGTAAGTTTCAGGCAAAACTGGGTTGTGTAGTATAACCTTGTCTCAAGAATATGGATGAATAAATGAACATCTTTATGAAAGTGGACTGTGAAATTTCAGGAGGAGCCAGCCCTCTGTAAGGAAGCAGGGCCTCACTAAAGATGCCAGCATCTTGATCTAGAACATTCCAGCGCACAAAACTATGGGTAATAAATACGTGTTGTTTATAAGCTACCCGTCTGTGGTAGTTTTGTCACAGCAGCCAGAAGAGACTAAAATAGTGGGAGGAGGCCGAATTATCGCTGAGTACGAGACAGACAAGATGATGATTGGACAGCGGGAATAAGATACACTTGTTTGTTGGCTTTCTTTGTATTTGAAACAAATCTAATATTGCTCAGAAATAACACACATCTTCGCCCAGAATAAAATGTAACTTTATTACAGAATAAATGTAACAAGAAAAAGATAGATGTGGAGAAATGCAGACCAGGTGAATATGATGTTACCCATTGGACCCATTATGACACTGTTCTAGGTGGAAGAATCCAGAATGTTAACGGTGTCAAGTGTCTAGACATGTCCTAACCCTGGTGCCTACCCTGGTTCCAGAGAAAGATGAGTGTTCTCTGAAGAATCAACCCAGTGAGTATGGGAGACTCAGTAAGAATAATGCTCAAAGACATTGATGACCCAAAGGGAAAGATGTTTAGTCCATAAGAAAAGGACTTAGTGGTTTTCAATAGCTGTCTCGGATGTTAAAGGACTCTCAGATAGAAAAGGATTCCGACATAATCTTTCAAAGCCCAGAGGGCAAACTTAAATGTAATTGGTGGATGTGTCAAAGAACTGGGTTTCAGTACAATGGAGAGAGGTACTTCCTCACAACCAAAGTTGTTCTAATAGCTAAATGAGAAAGTGGGCTTGAAGCAATCTGAGGAGAGCTGAGTGGCCTCTGCTGAAGCTCACTAAGGGATTTTCATTATGCTAAGGATGCTTGCTGGTTTGGGTGACCGCAGAAGTTACTTTCGATTTCCAATTATCTGACTAGAAAACGGCATGGCTCGGGAGAAAGTGAAACATTCCTGTTTTCCCATAAGGACGTAAAACGCTTTTAACCTAAAGTGGGATTAGATCGGCATGAAATATTTACGATGACAGAGGAGTGGCGCCTGTAGTAAGTTCTCCCGCTGGGTTCATTTGGGACTAGGTGGGTATCAGGGAGACCCTCATGTGCAAGAGGGAGCTTATTTAGCTTTGAGCATGAGTTAGCGGGAAAATGGGTATGGTGATCACAACCGAAGGAGACAATAGCAGAAGTTGCCTCTTTCTTGGCTTTACCCAGAGACCGTTTTTACTTGCTAGCATTTCTTCCTCTAAGTACATCTACAGTTGCCCTCCTCAGAGGATGGGAATCTTGTACTGTCGGGTAGGGGCATCCCTTATTCCTCCAAGTCCGACACTCACTTGTTATTTTAGCCTCCTTTCCTGGGATTCTTTTAGGCGTACACATTTTACTTGCCAGTAGTCCTTGGCTCATCCAACTGACAAGCATCCGTACTACTAAATTCATACTCATTTATCTTTTTATGTAAAAATAGCAGAAAATTGGAGGAACTGAAATGTTTACATAAATCATTTAGCTCACGTATAATTATTTTTTAAAACATTTTAAAATGTGTACCTAAATTAATAATGTCTAAGAACTCAAAATATTATCCAGGGTCACTTTTAACATGGGATGCTGTGACTGGCTAAGTAACCATAAGGCAACCTCTGTCGTGAACAGCTTAGCTTTGCAGCCTGAGTTAAGGTCCTCTAAGTATTCCATAATGTTTTTATCTTTCAGTCTGCTTAGCTAGGAATAGGCTCTTTCTAATCCTTAAATATTAGAGTCTGAAAACATTTTTTTCTTACTGTGGATTGTGATGATTTGAATGAGAATAGTCACCAGATGTTCATATATTTCTGTGAAATATTTCTTTATACTGTGTGAATGTATGTCACTGTGGTTGGTTTAATAAAAAAGATGACTGGTCTATAGCTAGGCAGGATAAAGTTTGGCAGGAGATCCAGACTAAGAGAATGCTGGGAAGAAGAAGGGCAGAGTCTCAGTACTCTCGAGCAGACAGACACAGACAGAAGCTAGACGAATGTGTCATGTTGAAAGAAGTTACTGCCATAAATAAGAGGGTAGACAGGAAATATGGGTAAATTAAAATGTAAGAGTTAGCTAGTAATATGCCTGAGTCAAGGCATTTATAGTTATATCAGTCATATATCAGTCAAGCACTTATAGTTAACATCAAGTCTCTGTGTGGTTATTTGGGAACCGGCTGGTGGTACAGAAAAGCCCACTTACATATTTGAATACTTGGTTTCAAGTAAGTGGGACTGTTTGGGAAGAATTGGAAGGTCTGGTCTTGTTTGGAGGAGATGTGCCATTGGGGGCAAACCTTGGAGTTTCTCAAGACTGGTGTCTTTTCCAGTGCCCCACCCACTTAAACACACCTCCCTCTCCCTTTCTTGCCCTCTCTCTCTGCCTCCTATTTCTGGATCAAGTTGTAAGCTTCCAGTTGTTTCTGCCACCGTGTCCATATTTTGGCATCATGGACTCTAATCCTCTTAAACCATAAGCCAAAATTGATCACTTTATTTTATAAGTTGCATTGGTCATGGTGTCCTATCACACCAACAGAAAAGAAACTAAGGCATGGATAATTCCAGGGATTTTTTTTTCAATTGAAACTGGACAATATCACTTACTTTTGATTGACAGAGTCCATTAACCTGATACCTGAAAAATACTTTTTAAAGTTCTTAGTCTACTGTGCAGCCATCTAGAAGCCAGTCTTAGCCAAGCAATTGACCAAGTGTCTGGAACCATGTTTTTCTTGGTCCCGTTGAACTGCTGACTGTGTGTCACTGGGTTTCACAAACACATAGCTCTTATATCTTTCAACTAGTTATTCTTTATCTGATAAGAACAAACAAAAAAAACCTTTTTGCTTTTATTTTTGCTCAATTACCTGGAGTGCTGTGTATTGAGAAGGAGCTGAGTACACAGGAGAAACTGTCAGAATGAGAGCTGTCCCTTCCTGGAAAGGGACATAGCATTCCAGGACCCAAGTTGTATCTTGGCTTAAGTCTTTTCTTCCTCTGGAACTTGTTTGTCCAGAAACAAGTGTGTCTCATAGAAGCATGGGGGTGCCCTCAAGCCTGGCTGATGTGGGTCTATGCTGGACCACATCAGAGCATTAGGAAACCGAGGGTATCTTTCAAGAAAGAAGGCTGAAGTACCCCAGCTAAGCCTACTCTGGTGGAGAAGGCTCAGGAAAGGGGCCTGTAGGCTTCCCTGCTGATTCTGCAGCACCTTCCTCAGAAATGGCTGCTTCCGACCTGCATTGCCATGTTCATTAATCTCCTGCATTGTGTCTGATGAGTTTCTAAAGGAACAGAGCCCACCTATATGAAGAATACTTGATCTAAAACAGAAGCACTGGAAGGCTTTGAAGTGCCTGAGAAACTCCTAAGAATGAGCTCCAAGCCCATGGGCTCACTTTTTTTTGTCTCTTCCAGGTATCAACTCTGGGACTTTTTATTTCATTTTAGATTTTGTTTTTATGGGTTTGCTTTGCTTGAGGTGGGCTCTCACTATGTGAAGCCCAGGCTAGCCTGGAATTCACTTTATAGCTCAGGCTAGAAATTTGTGTTCTTCCTGCCTCCATTCCTAAAGTGCTAGAATAATAATTGTGTACCACCATGCGTGCTAGTTCTAAAGCTTGAAATACCAGCAATACACAGAGGCTAGCCCGTTTCTACCCCCAAGCTCCTGATCGCACCTGCTTGCTATCTATCTTCTCTTCAACACTTGCTCTTCCTGTTGAAATAGAACCAGAACAAAATCACTTTCCCCCCTGACAACCCCTAAATGATTCCTGCTGCCTCAGTTTCCCACCCACATTAAGGAAACATGTCCTACCCAGCTATACAGGTGAAAATCCCAAACAGCAATCTCATTTCATTTCACATTTACAGAAACAATTAAAATGTCTTCAGTAATCTCAAAGATAAATACCACACCAAGATAGCTCAATTCTCTCTCTCCCTCCCAAGAGAGTTATTGGCAGATGAAGACTCCTAGAGAGGGTGAGTGGGTATATGGGCCATGTCCCAGTGACTAGGGACACACAAGTGCCTACATGGTGACCCTGGTTGAACGTGGTGGATATGGAAGTGGAAGGGGAACTTATTAGGGAAAAGGGGGTGACTTGGGAAGGAGAACATGAATAAGAGAGAATAAGAGGGAAGTGTTTACCAGAATGCCTTACATACATCTACACAATCGTCAAAAAGAACTTTTTTTACAAAAGATAATTCAATTCTACCCCATCAGCGGCCTTTTAGCCTAAGCCTCTATCATCTCTTAACTCAAATCAATCCTTAAATGGCATAACTAATCTTCCAGTGACCATCTTAACTAATTAATTAACCACATTAATACATTCTTGTTAAAATGTGTCCCCGGGAAGTCAGCTTTCTGTCAATGTGATAAATACCCTAAGGCAATCAACTTATGGAAAGGGAGATTTCCTCGGTTCCGCGTTTTAGAAGCTCCAGGCCACACATAGTTGGTGCTTCTTTGTGCTCAGGACTCAAGAGAACACATCTTGGCAGAAGATCGTGGTGATGTAACCACTCACCTAATTATATGAGCAAACAGGAAAGGTCTTGAAGACCATCATCCCCTTCAAGGATACATTCTCAATGATCTGATGACTTCACACGAGTTTCCTCCTCTTATTTTTTGGTATATCTCTCAATAATGTCAAAATTTGGGGGCCAAAGCTTTAGCAGATTGGCCCTTCAAGAGCATTCTAGGCCCAAGCTGTAGCAACTTGTGTTAGGATAAGGAGTAGGACACCACTCTTCTAGAGAGGCCATTTCAATGAACAGGAAGACAGTGGAAGCAAGGCAGTCTACCATGAAGCCAGAGGATAAGTCAAGCAATGAGTATGATAAATCTGTGTCACTGCAGTCTTTCAGTAAAATAATTAAAATGTTGGTCTTTAAATGTAGTGTATAGCAAATCAAACCTGTGTATATGCCAACATCACCACATAAAGTCTATCTCAAGAATTCAAAGATAACATGAAAAAGTCCTTCACCATAGCATGGCAGTAAATATATTTCATCAGATGCAGGAAAAGTATACACCAAATTACAATCCTATGGCATGCTCAGGGCTTTGGGAAAAAGACACTCGAAGACCCAAGAAGCAAAAGCCTCACTGTCATTTTCCTGATTTTGTCTACTCCCCTCCTTCCCCCAAGATCAGTCAGAGAAACCAGGCCTCTCTTCCTTGAAGCCTGGAGATATTATTCCAACCCTCCCCTACCTTACTTACTTACTGTGTAAGAGCTGGTCACAAGAAATTCTCTGACCTACCTTGTTCAGTAGTAGATCATAGACCAAGATCCCTCACAGATCCTGTTCCCTATGCCTGTGAAGAAGGGGAACTGTCCAGAGGGACAAGAAGTCTAGACAGACAGCTTCCCTTCAACCAGTTGCATTAGCTCCTGCCTCCATTTCTATAAAACCATTCTCTACCTCATCTGGTCATAAAAGTGGAAATTTTTTCCCTGAGTCTGAATCCCCGGTTCGCAGCTCATCTTTTGTCATTGGCAATGTTAACCATGACTGTTAATGAGAGGTGAGGAAGACAGTGACAGTGGAAAAAGCAGGTGATCTTCTAAACAGATGGTTAAGTCATTCAGGATAGGCAAGCTATACTGTGGTACCAAACCCTCAAACCTCAGTGGCTTGATATACGAAGTTTTTCGTCTCCACAAGCTCTCAGGGAGCTGGGAATGTGGCTTAGGTGTTACAGTGCTTGCCTATCATGTACAAAACCCTGGGATTAGTCCTCAGTATGTGATAAAGAAACAATCAGGTTAGTAAAGGCATATTGATATATACTAGATTTCGGCATAGTTGCGCACACATGTAACACCATCACGTGAGAGTCTAAGGCAGGAAGATCATGGGTTTGAGGCCAGCTTGGGCTGGTTTAAGGTCAACCTAGACAACTTTGAGAGAAATTGTTTCAGAGAGAAAAAAAAGTAAGGAAAGGAAGGAAGAAAAGCTATTCTAAGTCACTGTTCTGACCACGTTTATGGAGACTCACGGTACTGAGCACCTCTCCTCAGGTTCTTCTGTCCTCTACAGCACTCATAATGAGTCTTATTTCCCATTTCCAGAGAGGCAGACTCTATTCTAGAAAATTCAGTTATTGAGGAATTTATCTTAAGACCTTATAAGGAAAAGCAAGCACTTTGAAATATATATATATACATATATGCATATGTGTGTATATATACTATATACATTATGCATATATATGTGTGTATATATATAGAGAGAGAGGGAGGGGGAGAGAGAGAGAAAGAAAGAGAGAGAGAGAGAGAGAGAGAGAGAAAGACAGAAAGAGAGACAGAGAGCTACAGCAAGCCAAGATAGGCCTAAGGTCTCCTAGATCAGAGACAGCTGATTCCAATTTCCTGCAATCCTAGGTGCTGACTCTTCAGAGCTGCCTGCTCAAGGGAGTGTGAGTGTGCAAGAGGAAGCAAAACCAAGATTTAATCCCATCCTCCAATGTTAGAGCTGCATGACTTTCCCTCACTGGTCTCAGTAGCCTCATTGGAAGTCAATGAAGATAATCAAACCTACCCCAGGAGAATGATGGGCTCAAACATACAACAAAGGCTTTCATCACCTGATTTGTGAGAGGACTCCATGGAGGTTCAGTTCTGTTCTGCCTTTCTTGATAAAATAGCTTCAGGCATTCCTGAAGGAAAACCTCTATCAAAACAAGAAAAAGAACAAAAGAAAGCCTGGAAAGCGTGGTCCAGAAATGGCGAGTATTGGTGATTAGTAGCATGTCTTCTGTTAGCCTAGCTGAGTGGCAGACATCGACAACCCCAGCCTAAAAAGCTGAACCCGGAAGATAGTGAGATTGATTTCAGCCTGAGATACACAGTGAAATTCTGTCTCAAAACAATAAAAAACAAAAGAAGGAAAAAATGGAGCTTGTTGGTGGTGCTAGCAATACACAGATGATACCAGTGACATTTATAGAGTTCTTTGGCCTCCTTAGGAGAAAGAAATTAAATAAAAACAAGCAAAGTTCTAGTCACGTCATTCGTCAGCGGAAATGCCAAGCTGAGCCACCTTGGAGCTGCATAATGTATTCTTATCTTTCTTTCTTTGTCCTGTCCCCAGGAGATTCCCAAGGTCAGTGTTTAGTAAGACCATGCCTGTCACTAAAAATAATGATGGGGCGCCACTCAGAACCACCTGCACTAACAAGGTGAGAGAGCCCACGCGGACAGAGAGCACCAGCTGCTCCCAGGAGCAGATCTGAAGAGACAGCGGTGTGCTCTGAGAGAAAACTTGCTTCAAAAGCATGGCCACAGAAGCGGGCTCATGGGGTGGATTTAATTACGTGATAATGCTGCTACCTTATTCATTTCTCTAATGCATTGCCGAGAACATCAGAGCCATTTAGTAATCTGCAGAGCCCTTTAGTGATGTTGAGGTGATTAATGCCCCTTGGCATTGAGAGGTGGTTGGGAGTGAATGAGAACGCACCTTGCAGCACTCTAGATAAAAGGACCAAGGTCTTCACACTAGAAAGAGGAGCCCTCAAAGGCCTGCGCTTATCTTCTCATTCCCAGCACAGCAGAGACAAGGGCCAAACCACTGACCACTGCCCCTGGATCAGTGTTCTGAACGGTGTTCCAGATCCTTCCACTGCTGTTTGTTTCCTTGAGACATTTGACTTTCTGGGAACCACTACCCAAATCTCTACTTAAACTGTTTTCTTCTAAGGGATGTGACGGGGATGAATTTAATATCAACAGCACAGTATGGCTGACAGGCTCATGTTCTCCCAACACTAGGGAGGCTAGGGTTGAAAGACCAACTGAACACAGGAGCTCAGGGCTAGCCTGAGCAACAGAAAAAGTCTCTGTATTGGTTTTTTTTTTTTAGAAAAATAGTATCTTTAAATTATAGCTAGCAGTTGCAAAATATGAAGCATAGATAATTGTAAATTTATACTAAATAAGAGAAGAGAAAAATAATACTGCACAAAATTTAAGGAGAGTTTTCAAAACAAAAAGAGGCAAACATTCTACAAGTATCCTTTATTAAAAAAAATGGAAATAAAAGATCTAAAATGATAGAAATTATTATACGGCAGGCGTGGTGGCTTACACTGGTAACCCTGGCTACTTGGGAGCCTGAAGCAGAGGGATCACAAATTAGGCCACTTCAGGCTACACAGTGAGACTCTGTCCTCCCAAAAGTAGAAGAAGGCTAACAATGTAAGCTTACTGGGAGAGCACATGCTCACGAGCCAACCCAATCTACCCAATTAGTTGTTGGCCTTCTTTTCCCAGATGATTCTAGATTGTGTCAAGGTGACCATTAAAGTTGATCATCACACATGGTAAATTTATAGACCAGAAGATTGGTTAGTAGGAAAAGGAATAATGTACTGATACATGTCACAAGACTCAGTGGATGAAACGTAAATACAGTGTACAAAGCAAGATAAAACCCAGTCACAAAGTGCAGATTGCATGATGCCATTGATATGAAATGTCTATGACGGGCAGGTCTGTAGACACAGTCTGCTAGTGGATGCTGAAGCCTAAAGGGAGGGGATCAGAGACTGACTGGTGAGGGGTGAGAGAACGGTCCTCCTGTTTTGTCATGGAGGTTAGATAAATGTAAACACACCCAAGTGTGTTGACGTATGAATTTTTAAGGAATGAAATGGAGAGACAGATACATCCCACCACAACTCTGACCACCTTAGTGTATCACTACACTAAACACGCTCAGCTGATAATCCGCATGAGCCATGTGTTTCCTCTGCTTAGCACATTTCTGGAAGAGGTGTGTTCCTCCACTCTACTGACTTTGTTTTAGATAGGGGGGTATCATGAAGCAGCCCCAAATTCATAGTCTACTGTGACTAACTTTAAACTCTCAATCCTCCTGCCTAACTCTTCCAAGTGCTGGAATCACAAGCACGCAAACCATGCCAGGTTCCTACTGACACTTAATAGGGCCGTGTGGCTTCTATTAATATACAACATGTTATGGAACTGTACACACACCAGTTACAAAGAAAAGATTTGGAATGTCCTGTGTTTTGCTAGATCCTCTGTAGCTCCTGACCATGGTCTCAAGATGGATCACACCAGGGAGCTGATGGTCCCTTGGCTCAGCTCGGTTCCGAGAGAGAGAGATTTGCAAAGCAGATCTGATGTGAACCCCCGAAGTCTAGCTGACCCCCTTGAGCCCAGCAGGGCCATTGTCAACCTACAGATCCAGGAGCAGAAGTTCCTTGGCTTGAGGCATCAGTATTTTAGAGCTATTTATTGTCACAGTAGATAGGCACCAACAAAAAGGGACAACAACCGGTACTGTCACTGAAAGCTAAAATGTGAGCTAAACACAAGTGAGATTCAATCTCAGCCCCAAATAAACAAACTGAAGAGGAGGTAAATATGTGTAATTCCTTGTCCTGTGCATTCAAAAACGTACTTTCAAAGCCACTAAGTGAATCTAATAAGACAGTAGCCATGCAGGTGACGAGCAGGGTGAAGGGTGACTGAACAGGTGACAAGGTGGCATGGAGCACTTTTCACAGTGCACTGCTTTGTGCATTTTTTAAATTCTGAGCCATGGAAGTGAAGTTTATTTTCAAGTCATCCTATGAGAATGTTCTTCTGGATAACGCAGGTGTTATTAACTTGAGCCATCTATGTGGAAGAACAATTCCAACACGCCAACATCAAATAAGGAAACACCATACTGGTAATAAAAGAGTCAGAGACTCACACAGCCATCCCGAAGCTGGTGTCATCACCAAGTGATCGGGTGGAAAACCCCAGAGTCAGTCATCTCCTTTGTGGGAACCACCTGTCACCAGACAGCCACTTTGGTAAAACCGTTTCGTTGCTTTGGGCCTGTTTTCTTCATTTGTTAAGTGAGAAAAAGACTGTTAATGCACCCTAAGAAAGGAGTCACCCAGGTTTGTTCTGTAAGTCCTGCTGATGATGAAATGATTAGAAGAAAATTACCACAAGACTTACTGTAAACAAGATTCCTGATGCATAAGACAACATACCAAATTTTAAAATTATGCATTTGTTGTCTCCTTGCTGGAGACACTAGCCCATTCTCACAGGAAGGAATGGCCAGGTATTTGTTTTCTTAGCAATTGTGATGATTTTCTTCCATTTTTTTTCTTCAAGTTTCCTAAAAACTCATTATCTCCAAATCATTAATGAAACCAATAAAAATTATGTATCTGATACTCTGTGACTGCTGGTAGTGAACTCTCTAAGGAGAAATTACTCCTGCACAGCTTTTAACACTAGATGGTTGGCAACAAGAAGAAAGGCTCACGTCCGCAAACAGTCCATGCTCAGGCGGAGATTTTCTTCCATCTCCAGTGGTCCCCTCGGTTTCTAGCAGACTCAGGCACTTTAGGAGCCAGCAGTGCAGTCCATTGTTTGGCAATGACAACACGAAGAGGCTGCTCCAGTCACTTCAAACCACAGCTTTTCCTTGTGAAAATCAGCAAGGCTATTTTCATTGATTAAGTAGGTAGAACGGGAATGGAAGTGTAATAGGGGACAATAAATTCATCTCTGCACTCATGGGAAGAAAAATAGGGTTTCATACAGCTGATCAAATCAAATCCTACCCTACTGTGATATATAAACAAGGACACAGATTCTTAAGAGCAAAGACATGCTAGCTGTGTGTGTGTGAGTGTGTGTATGTGTGTATGTTTGTGTGTGTTTAGAGATATCTGAAGGCCCACTGAGAACTAAAAATCAAATCTTGGCATAGATTTGATTTATACTCTGTATTAATCAGCTTTCTGTTACTCCAAAAAAAATCTGAAATAATTGATTTCAAAAGAAGAAAGGATCATTTTGGCCCACGGGTTTGGAGGACTCCATACATGTGCAGACTAGACAAAGTCCTGAGTGAATGTGTATTGTTGACATGAGAACAGTCATGTCATAAACCCCAACGCACCCGATCTATGAGAATAGCAAGGCTTTCCTCTATTCAGAGTAAGGACGTTTACATTCTATGCAAAAACTCTCAGCCACAGCTTCCTCCTCCAGCAAAACTATAACCTGAGACTGTTACCTACAAAGACGTCCTGCTAGGATTAGCTAACTGCCAGGTATAGTAAATGCACTTACTTTCCTGTTGGGTGCTGGTGTATCTCCAGCAGAGTACATGACCCATCTGATCCCAGCTTTCCTGTCTGTGTATCTGCTTTCTTTACCCTCTGCTCCCCCAGCTAGGGCAATCCCTACCTAAGCTGTGCAAGTGACAGCAAATGGAAGGCTGCTTGGGCCTTTGCTCTGGGGTTAGTGGTGGGTGGAGAGTGGGAGGATTGTCAGGTAAGCTGTTAAGCAGGCTAGGAAGGAAACACAATAACAGGCCTGGGTGTCCAGAACCCCCCTCAAGGACACCCCCACACACACTAAAATGACTTTCGCTTTCTTAATCTGACCCACCGCTTTCTGACAGTGTCATAGACTGCCAACAAAGTATTCTGGGATATTTTAATCACATTCTGACACTCTTGATATTGCCAGTAAAGTTTACTTTGAGTCAGAGGATGGAGCTAGCTACTAACTGACCAAAATTAGCCATAGAGATTTTGGAGGACTGAGGACATGTAGAGAGACACAGGAAGTAGTAAGGAAGGGTTTAGAAAGATACTTGTCTCTTTTGGATCAAGGAAGGAGAAAGAGGGGGTGGTCCCTGGTCAATTCTCTGCCTCTTCTCTGATCATTCAGGTTCTGCCCCCATATCTGACTCTGAAGTTTTTAATTGATAAAGAATAATTAGATAAATACTTCAACTAAGTCTTTACCATGTGTGCCTTTAAGGGACACTCGCCCAAACTGGAGCACTGCTGACCATAAAAACTCATTATCACACAAGTGCTCAGGGAAGAGTCATCGATAGAAGACCCTGGAATTAGTGAGCACTAACAAAGCTGACTCATTCCTTCCCTGAAGAAGCATTCTACTGCCACCCTCCAAGTTGCCTGGACTCATCAAGATCAAGTCATT